CCCCCCTCTCTCTCCACCCTCCGCAAGGAGGACTGCAGGTGGAGAGACAACAACCCGGGTGCAGAACACCGCTGAGCGGCTGCTCCGCTGCTCCGCAACAGAACCCCGCTTTCCTTCCCGTTGTTGCTGGGAGATGAGCCGACACTTCAAAAGGGTGGCGGAGCTCCAAAGCGGTGTAATCAACGGTTGGCCGAGAAGTTTCTGCAGGACATTGCAGTGGTTGTTCTCTTGCTTGTCGCCCCAGGCAAGCGGCAGGCTTTGCATGCAGCCCCACAGCAGCAATGACAGACGATGAGATACACAGCTTGCTGCGCTGGGACTCCGCAGAAGAAATATGAACGGTACCCAGTTGTTGGCCCCCCGAGCCTGCTCTATCATCATCCTGCCTCAGATCACATTTATCACATACCTGTCGCTGTGTGCTGCGTTAGTCTGTATCCTCTCAGCAATGGCAAGGGCCCTCCCCAAGGAGGTCATGTGGCGGATCATCCAGTTCGTTGACGACTCGTCCCAACTGCGAGCTACTTCCTCCAGGTGGAAGCACGTCGGACGGGGAAACTCGAGCATGGAAACGGTCCTTCGAGCCAAGGGCAGCATTCCCAACGAGCTATTGGTCGGGCTCGTCTTGCAGTTCTTGGACGAACCAGATGCTGGGTGAGCCTGCTGTAGGGCAGGTGCCCTCCTTATGTTCGTCGCCGCGGGAAATGGAAAAGGAGGGGCTACGTGTGGGGAAAAATTGAGGCAGCAAGAAAACTCTGCTGCCGCAGACACTTCAAGATGCCACTGGCGCTTGCGGGCGGTTTTGCACATGCAGTCAACACAACAAGCGTTCCATGTGTACCGTAGGTCGCGAAAGATATCACGCCCCTGGACCGATTTTCAAAGCTCGATTGCTACACGGTGAGGAGGATGCCGAAATTGAAGTATACTGTACGTCGTCGAAAAAAAGCTCTCGACGAGACGGTCCCACCGCCGCCATCTTCGCCATCGTCACATCCTTTCCTGCCGAGATATCAAGCTTCGAAAACCGACGCAACCTACGGCAGTGTGTATTTGGGTTATTGAGGGAAGGGGAGACGGGTTGAGTGAGCTTGAGACCGCAACCAAGCGAGGGGGTGACCCTCAAGAGATCATTGCCCACGACCACAGCAAGCCCACTCCTCTTTCATGATGCTGGTGGACTGGCGTATGTCCGATGGTAGAGACGGCTGTAACGCTCACCGCTCTCTTTCCTTTCCCCGCTGAAAACTCAGTACGCAGCAAAATTGATTTTATGAAGTAACAACAAGCACATATATTACTTTATAAAAATTGATTAATCTAGTCTACACAAACAAAATGGGATAAAGTATCCGTTGAAAACTTGAAAACTAAAATTACAAGTACTAGATTATGTCTGTGCATTCTGTTTTTCAGTCTTCATCTGGTTGCTTGGGTCGAAGGGGCGTGTTTTTTCTGGAAACTCGGCAGTTCCGGGGACTCATCTCAAATCAACAGTCGAGGGAGAAACGCTCAGGGGTCTTTGTCTTTCCGCGAACTCGTTTTTTTTTATGATTTATTCACAAAGCGGGTGGTTCCCTGTAAGAATGCCGTTGCCCTGGGAGCAGAGTCACATACGCATGATTCAAGGGGCGTTTTGTTTTCGACGCTCGTTCTATCTACGTATCTACAACACGTACTTTGTTTCATTTTCTAGTCTAACGTCGTTCATTGACCGGCACTCTGAAAAGCTGCAACACCTCCGATACATGATGTTCCGATACTGCGGGGAAAGTGGATCAATCGCTGTTGTACGCTCAAGTATTTGTGTACTCCGGACGATTCCTCTTAGGTTGTAGACTACACAATATGTTTAAGGTAATTACGATCTTTGTTGGATGTTGGATAGTACCTTCGTCCTGTGCGTGACTCCCGCTGATAACCCAAAACGTCTTATGCCGAACGGTTGTAGAGTGGCATCAGATAGGACCAAAACACCCTTGTGTCCGTCAGCTCTAGGGTGAGAAGTCCTTTCCCGTTGAGGGCAGGGTGCGTTTTTCGCGTTTTCGATAAAGTCACCTTATCGAGGGAAAGGAACGAACGGCCGAATCCTTCTCGCGATACAGTACTGCTGTACGGTACTGCAAGAATCTCGATATCTCGGGCGTGGTCTCTCTTTGATGTGTTGAAAATGTGTGTGTTTTCTAATTTGGGGGGCCGGTTCTAGCGACGCCAAGCGTTCAGGAGGGATTGTTGGCGCTGTCAAGGGCAGGCCCCTTCTGTGGATATTGCGGCTATCGGTCAGGGGGCAATTGTGCCACACGAACCTGTTGTCGCTTAACAGAGCATGTCGCAAAAGCTGTGAGGCAAACACTTCAAGAGGGAAACGGTGAAGGAAACGGCCAGTTTTTTTCTGCCAAAAGCTTCAAGACCACCACACCCTCCACTGACTGGGGTGGTGCTGTCTCGAACGGCTAGTAGTCTTAGTATTTCTCTGGTAAAACGAAAGCTTGTTCGGCAACCCTCCCGTGTGACACGCTGGTCCACCCGTCACGTCAAACCAAGACACCCAACGCTTAACCGATGCACCCCAAAACCAACTAATATCTCTCCAGGGACAGGCTGCGGCACATCGCTAAGGTCTGGGCGGCCTACCTCCAGCGCGTAGCGGCGACAGCGGCAACGTTCACCACGACGGCAGGAGGCGGTGGCGAGGAGGGGATGGTCCCGTTTCCTTCCCTGGGTATGAGCTTCGGCCCCGCCACGGAGCCGGGGCCCCTTGATACCACGGGACGCCTCCCGAGCGAGCTGCTGGAGTCGATGTTCGATTACTTGGAGGAGGACATGACGGTCAACTGCGCTTCGGTGGCTCGTAGGTGTGTGTCGTTCTTGTCTGCGTGACCCCGCCCCCGCCCCCCGCGGTGTCCCGTCCTCTCGAGGATGCATGGTCAATGGTATAACCGCTAAGGCATGAAAAACATAAGAGTAAACCCCCCCCCGGGGTGGACTCGCGGGGTGTTAGTGTTTGTCATACTGTAGGGGGGGGTAGTTCGTAACCCTACCCTCGAACCAAGCTTATGTATTTTCACAGGGGCTACTGCTGCCCTCACGAAGGTACCGGCGTCTGTGCCTTTGGTGGCGTGTATTACATCTATCGGCAGGGACCATCAGCGTGCGTGGGTGCTTAGCGGCTGAAATCGGTGATGTGTCGGTTGCCCTGTTAGTTGCGCGCGCGTGTGCCGTGTATTGGCCGTGGCATCGAATTGCGCGTGTATTGCTCTCGAAGTGCATCATGACCCTGGGTGGTCGGGGGGGGG